GCACTTTGATCCATCTCCTGTGTTGTGGAGGAAAAGATCGGGCAATCCTTGAAGGGAGATTTTCCAGCAGCCAGATTAAATAAAATACCACCAACCGTTTTAAATGCAATTTAACAATGCTGAAAGTTCAAAGAAAATGAATTTGTGCCGAGGTAGTGCTAAATCTTTATTTTTCTGTCATTAGATTTAACAACAATTGCAAATTAAGTTTATGGAATTCAAAACATTGCCTGGATATATTTGCTATGAGTAAATTCACTAATTCACAGCTGATTGACGACAGATTGGGCTGCCCCGACACTTCACTGCCTTTGCTGTTTGCTGCCTAATCTGTAACAAAACTGTCCATCTACAGCACAGAATAGCCAAATTGTGTGGAATACAAATGTAGGGGAAAATTCACAAACTCATGAAAATTCCTCGTATACATACATCTTCTATCTTTGTTATTCAATATACAAGTAGTTAAAGTAATTCTAAAGTAAAAAAGTTTTTTTTTCTTAATGCATTAACACTGCCCCCCCCCCCCCCCCCCCCCCCCCCGAACACTTGACTCTTCCATCGATCCAGCCCTGTCCAGTCTCCCTCTTCCTGGTGTCACTGGAGGCTCTGAGAGCACAAGAAGCCATAGGCTCCTTCTTTTCTCAGTAAAATCGTGAGGAGGAAGCGGGGGTGCGGCTGAACTGCAGTGTGTTTCTTTGGATGTACCATGCCCAACTCAAGAGCACGCCCACATGGGTGCCCCCTCAACACAGGGCTTGCTGAGGGGGGGCACTCGTAAAAAGAAGGTGACAGCTGCAGCAGGGGACTCCAGAAGACAAGGTAAATGATCGCTTTGTGCAATATCATTGCACAAAGCAGGATAGGATACACTCTTTTTTATTTGAAAAAAATCTGTTTGATTAGGTGATTGCTAGTTGGTTGTGGGAATATCCCTTAACGTCTTTTGTCCTTGTGCAGAAGAGGCTGGGGCTATCTGTGACCTTTTTTAGAATTTCTAGGCATGGTTATTGATGACCACCAGTGCAATCTGAGTATCCTTTTAAGTCTGTTTATAGTATAAATAAATGGTGTTAGGGTTTGGTAATTGCTTTCCTGATCTGTGTGTTAGTTGTCATCCTTGGGTTATGAAATCCCTTCTGAGATGTTTGAGTTGGGCATTTCTATGTGTGGTATCTAACAGATCTAATTGTATCATATGTCCTGGCTATAGATAACAGATTATTTTATGTGCCTGGGGTGAAAACTGTAATGCTTGAAATATGTGGGGTGGTCTGTGGGTTTTCTGTAAGTGGCTTGTTTGCAGATTTTTCCACTTTACATAGTGTAGTGTCCATGAAATTGCTGCTTGTGTGTAGTTTAATTTGAGCTTTATGGTTGGATAGAAGTTGTAGTGTCTGTGAAATTGAGAAAGATCCTCTTCAGTTGCAGTCCAGATAATCAAAACGTAATCAATAAAGTGAAAGTAGGCCATGTGTTCAATGGGGCATGTATTGTAGATAGGTACTTTTCCACTGTTTTAGCCATAAATAGTTTTGAATATTGGTGGACAAACCATGATTCAATTACCACTCCGATTTGCTGCAAGAAGCAGTCCTGACCAATGGAAAAGTAGTTGTAGGTCAGTATAAAAACTGTATCAGCTGAGCAATCGGTTCAGCAGGCTGGTCCACTTTCCGAAGATACTGTAAACAGACTGCAATGCCATCATTGTGGGGAATGTTTCATCCATGACAGCTAGAATGGCTCCTTCAACTATATGGCCAATTGGAGTGAGTTTGTGTAGGAAATCGGTTGCGTCTTTAATGTAGCTGGGCGTTTCATGGTCCAGAGGCCAAGCAGCTTGCTCAGCAATGGCGATCCTATGGACTTACCAGGCTCAGCATTACAAAGCTGAACTGAGGACAGAATGTCCATTATGGACACTCCAGCCTCAATGTCACCCCCCCCTCCTGCCACCTCAAATGTCCTCATGGATGGAACAGACCTGCTTTAAAGGATAAGTTCACCTTGACAAAAAATAATAAATGCGCAATTTTTGCAGGTAGAAAAATGTGCATGCATTATTTTTTGTTGCAGGAGCCTGTAAAGCATTGCACCAGTGATCAGCAGATCTCTGGGTCCATGCAAGTCTTTTGCAGATCTATAAGAATATCTGATTGTATGGGATGTATGGGTAAGCAGATAAACTGACAGGAGGAATCAATGAACTACCATGGTGCTCCACAGCTCCATGGTAGTTCACTGAGATCTACAAGCTGACAGCCACTAAAACTGTTGGGACGTGTACTGTTTGGGACGTGTAGTTCATTAATTGGAGCCCCGCATAGACACGCTGTTTTTAAAAAGTGACAGCATGTATGGGGAACTTCTCCCCATACTGCTGTCACAGGGATGGGGGGGGGGGGGTGATCAGGAAGTGGCTGCAGAATTGGGAACAGTTTACATGTTCTACCCTAAAAACGGGTGAATTTATATTTTAAAGCGGAACTATACTCACATTGGATCCAGCGATGTGACGTACTGACTTCTTCAGGCGGCCGGCTTTTGGATCTGGATTGCTGGCTGCTTTCATTGGCAGGGCGAGAATGATGGTCACCTAAAGTTCAACTTTAAGTCTTTCACCATGTGTGTAAGTTTTTCTCTTGCAGGAATCTGTATGATCTTGTTATAATTTTGTATTGTTTATAATATTTGATAGGTGTCTGTGTGCTTCATGTACAGTATGTAGTCACTGGTGTTTATTATGACTGTGCCTCTGTCTGCAAGGTTTGTGATAATCTCCCTTGTGCTCTTTGAAATAATTGATGTCTGTTTGTTCAATGTGCAGATATATTCTGAAGTTGCTTTTTTTTCCGCAGAATTTTTTCTGTGACTTTTTGAGCTTGATTTACTTAGCCCTGGTTCACATATAAGCACCTGTGTAGGCCGCATTTTCACAGGCATGAGAGCCCATTCACTTGAATGGACTCTTGTGCCCTGTTACACGCAGGAAAGAGGTCCCTGAACTTCTTCTGAAAACACAGCCTGCACGGGAACCTCTGTTCCCAGTATGGTTGCGTTTTCCAGTGACGGCAGCATGCCATTAGAACTAATGGCACCCGCCCACGGGTCCGCAATCCTCTGCGAAGGTGGTGCGGCTGCACAGATTTTTGTGCGGATCCACAGCGGCACCACTGGCATATATGTGGACAAGGGCGAAGCCCTGGTTCATATATATGTGGCCATACGGGCTGCGTTTTGCACGGACATGAGAGCCCATTCATTTGAATGGACTCCCGTGCCCCGTGACACGCAGGGAAGAAGTCCCTGCACTTCTTCTGAAAACGCAGCCTGGACGGGAATTTCGGTTCCCACTACGGTTGTGTTTTCCAGTGCGGGCGGCGTGCCATTAGAATTAATGGCACCTGCCCGTGGGTCCACATTTCTCTGTGCTGGTGGTGCGGCTGCATGGATTTTCGTGCGGATCTGCAGCGGCATTACCCGCAGAGATGTGAACCTAGCCTAAAGGCAAATAGGCTGTTGTTCTTTGCCAAGAAATTTGCCCCAGATGTTAGTGAACGTAGTGAAGTTTCAATTTACTAAGATCACCCAATCAAGGGAAATAAAAAACATAATTTTTGCTTACATATGATTGTATAATGAAAGTCAGCAGAGCTTCACCTCACTTATTGAGCTTCATTGCAAAGTGTGGCTTCTCTTGCAAAATGAACAGATATTTGCCTTTAGTAACTCAACCTCTTTGTCTGAAGCATTCATTATGTGAGTATGAAAATAGTGGGGTCATCATTTTCTACCATTTGGAACCGTGTTTTAACATACATCTTTGGCAGGGTGTCCTGTTGGAGTTCTCCTGTTGGATTGTTGTAAAGAGGGCTTATTTGTTTTCACCTTGATCTAGTGGAATACAGTATATCCATATATATCATTGACTTCCATCATTATTTTAATTTGAAGGTATGCAGGAGTTGGGTGCATATGGTTCTTGGATGACACTTCTTTTTCAGATTAGATTACTTTGTATATTTATCTCAAAGCAGATTCTAAGGAAGTGATTGTATTGTGTTGCATGGGGATCTGAAGTGCTAAGTGATGATAATTACAGTCTGTTTTTTCATTATTTATGGTTTTAATGGAAATTGTATTTTTGTAATAAAAATTCATTCTAATCTGCTTATTGTTCTCCTATATTAAAAAGCTCCCTTTTTTATATTTACCCCTCCTTTGGTGGTTTTCTTGCTCAATATGTTTGAGCGGAGTGGGGTTTCTTACAGGTCTGGGGTCCAAGTGGATTTTTGTTTTGTTGTTCTTTAGTTATAATTTGGCTGTGTTGTGGTCCATCCTGTAATGGGAGTATTATTTGAGTTGAAAGAAGAAAGGTTGGAGTTTACATAATACCTTTTAGTGATTAATTTTAATTTTTATTTCCTAGGTGGGTATTGTGGAAGTGAAAATAGGTACCATTACAGAAAGGCACCCATTTGCTGGAGAAAAAAATTGTAAGGGGAGGGTGGGGATGAAGGGAATGAATAGTACTTACATTTGTAAGTGAAGGTCCGCTTGAAACTTTTGTATTCTCTCTTTCATGTGAGTCGTTAGACATTGTGCTATATTGACTGTTCTTTGTGTCAGAAATTTGGCAACTTCAAACTCAGCATATGATACAAATACATAAGAAACATTTACCAGCAGTGAAAGCCATATTTTAAAACAGTTATACAATCTGGAGACATAGTTCAAATAATATGCACTTTTAATTTTTCCAATAAAACTAGAGATCATGTTCCTGTCCTCTCACCTTTTAGTCCACCCCATTGATCTTTTAATGTGATGCTCAGCCACAAAGACTTATAAGGGGATCACAGGCTCCTGAGGTTGGAGAGGCAGAGTCAACATTTACAAAAATTGTGTGATTTTTACATAACTGATTTTAGTTAATGCAATTAATGGATATTTTTACTATATGGATATGTTTTACTATATGTCAAATTTCTTTCCAGACCAACCAGAGATAGTGAAGATGAAGAAGATGATGAAAAGAAAGGGAGAGGGTGTTCCCTGCAATACCAGCATGCAATGGTTCGAGTCTTCACTCAGTTTGTTGCAGAATCTGCAGATGTTGGCGGTCAGCTGATACACATGCTTGGTCCTGACTGGCAGTTTGATATCACTGACCTAGTGAGTGATTTCATGAAAGTTGAAGAACCAAAAATAGCTACACTGGAAGCAGGGAAAGTTCTTGTTGGACGGGATCAAGGAATCACTACAGTCCAGGTATCATCATATATCATGACTTTTGTTATTAGCTGAAAGAGATATTACCACCATTTATGTTTCACTTACAATGAGATAAGTTGCTTGAATTGCTGAATTCAGTCTTAAGAACTTGAATTGACTCCTAGATTCTTAATTCAATGATCACATTTTAAAGAGATCCCCAATTGCCTGACACTATTCATCTTTTATTCACTAGCAGTCACCCCAAGGATACTAAATATACAGTATATTCAATTTAAGTATATCGACATAGTAACCAGGGTTTCAGGCAATAGTGTGTCCATTTCTCAGCAGAGGGACCAAACCTGCAGACATTCTACACTGTAGGCTACTGGGTTTCAATGGTCATGATGGCAGTTCTCCCATCAAAAAGCTCCCTAACCAGCTATAGTGTGTAAATTGGTTAACTGACTTAGGTAGAAGTATCACTACAAAAGTAAAATCGTTGCCTCCCCCATCCTCTGGAACTCTCTACCCCAATCTACCAGTGGGCCTACTCTGCCCACTTTTAGGTGATCTCTGAAAACCTATCTCTTCAGGGAAGCCTATCCTGCCTTCAGCTAATAACGGAATCTTCTATTCCTCCTATCAGTCCATCCCCCACAGTTATTACCTTTTGTACCACCAGCCCTTCCCTCTTAGATTGTAAGCTCCAAGGAGCTGGGCCCTCCTAACCCTCTTGTATTGAACTGTATTGTTGTTGTATTTGTCTCCCTTTATATTGTAAAGCATTGAGCAAACTGTTGGCGCAATACAAATTCTGTATAATAATAATAATCTTTGCAGAATCCCCCAGGGGTTCTAGTATATGGAACACTTGATTCCAATCTGATACATGCTACCTTTGCTGAGCTAGTGCGATCAACTGCTTTGTTCCCCACTACTGTCTGACCACACTGCTAGAAAGGAAAAAATATACAGTATAATTAGGTTTGACCAGAGACACACACAGAGGAGAAGGAGCAGTAACAGCCATGGAAATAGAGGGAGAGGGGGCAATCATGGACAAGCATGCAGAAGAGAGAGTTGGCGACAGTGGATGGGGATGAACTTCATACAGTATATACAGACTCTGGGCTGGGCTTGCACAGACTATGTGGGTTGTTGCTGAATGTATGTGAAGAGAAACTCAGATATCAGGCAATTTGGTAGCCTGTTTTCTTTTATAGGTGCATCTGTGGGGTGACTCCCCACCAGTGCTAGTGGGGCAGTGATTGATCCTTTACAGATAACAGCTTGTGCTGTTGTGAATGACAACACTCATCATGCAAATCAATGAAAGGATAACACAAGCCGCCAGCTAGTACTATGGCTGTAAACCCGGCCATAGATTAATCAAATCTCAGCCGGTTCAGCTGGGACTGGCCAAGATTCAATCCATTTAAGGATAGGTTGATTGTACTCAAGTCAATCAACTTGGGTATAACCAGCCTATCTGATTTGTGACATGCAATTGCTGCTGGTGGCTATTGCTTCTAACAGTAATAATTGTGTTCTGCTGCTGGCTGGGAAGGCTCTCTGCCGGCAGAACACAATAGCTCTGCGAGAAGGATTCCCCCATCAACACTAACTGTTTTGATGGGAGTCCCAAGTGATTTTTTTTTTCCTACAACCTGTGGAGGAAGGAAAGAAAATTGCATAATCTATGGGCTGCCTAAATGATCAATCACCATCCTGCCAGCACAGTGGTCAATCAAACAATGAGTGTGGCTACTGTGACTGCAGCTTGTCTGCACTGATTTATCAGTCATTGCCGGTAGGGAAGTGATTGATCTTTTACAGTCATACTAATAGCTGGTGGCTTGTGTTGTTGTCATTCTGTTGTTGCGAACTGCTATTGTGTGCTGTCATTCACAACAACAAAAGCTGCTAGCTATGACTGAAAAAAAATTATTTTGCCAGGAACCCCATGCAGACAAGAACAAGGGCCTATTCTGCAACTACATGAATAATTTAGGGGTACCCCTAATCATTCACAAAAATGTGAAGCAAACAAACCCACAGACATACTTTGACAAGTCATTTATAAAAACAAAAACAAAAATGTCCCCTGATATAAATCCATCTTCATTCACATTGTCCAGAGAGTAGATCCATGTCAATCGTAATGAACGACATCCACCAAAAGAAGACATATGCTAACACAGTAACTACTTACTCCAAATGGATCTCCCTAGCTGACAGTCAAATGTAAACAAAGGAGTAGGGTATACTTGGTAATGATACTGATCAATATGGACATGATGTAATTGGGTCAGTGACGTTCCCTGGGATACCTTGACCCTTTGTTTACATTCTGCTGTGGGCCCTAAGAACTATCATTTTCATCTAGCAGTCAGTAGAATTGGACCTTTAGTTGTTTCTTCTTTCAGCAGGTTGATGAGCATGGATCTGCAATGATGTGAGTGATGATGGATTTACATTGTGGAGCATTGTTTTTTGGGGTTTTTTTTGTAAATGAAAGACTTGTTAAAGTGTGGGTGTCTTTATTTACTATTTACGTTTTTTGTGAATGAATAGCGGTATTATATACCCCTTACTTATTCACGTACTAATTCACCTTATTTTATATCCTTAGAGGAGGAGGGAGGTGTAACAATCATGCACACAGGGAGGGGCGCGGTTACCCATTTTGCTCCAAACATCTGCATTTTGGTATTTCTCTTAAACTCCTATGCAATCAACTGAGGGGGAAGGTGTCACCAGAGCCAGACACGATCCTCATTTTGTTAAGAATTCTTCATGTTATCCCCTCATTTCCCCCTCCCTCAGGAATTCAGGGTACGTTCCTAAGTTTGCTGTCTATACAATCCTCTTCCCAAATAAGGTAATTGACTTGTCTGTTGTAAGGAGACACCAATTGATTTTGGGTAGAAATAGGCTGTTATGCTTTGTGTGTAGTGAGAGAAGTGAGGATCTTCTGCCTTTTAACATCTGGCAGAGAGAGAGAAAGCCGAGTCACGCAGTAACATCGAAACTGAGCGGAGATCAGAAATCCTTTTTGAGCTAATCACAGACTTGAAACTGCTTAACCCCAGGCATCTTTTTGGCAAGTACTTATCTACCTAAACTTATCTCTGTTATCTGTTTGCTGTGTTGTTGTGCTCTGTATATTTATATACAGTTGCAAGAAAAAGTATGTGAACCCCTTGGGATTACGTGGAGTTTTGCATGAATTGGGCATAAAATGTGCTTTGAACGTCATCTAAGTCACAACAATAGAAGAACACAGTCTGCAGAACATAATACTACACAAACATTAGATGTTGCCATGGTTTAATTGCACATAACATGTAAACATTCACAGTGCAGGGAGGAAAAAGTATGTGAGGCCCTAGCTTAATGACTTCTCCCAGAGCTAATTGGAGCCAGGAGTGAGCCAACCTTGACTCCAATCAGTGTGATGATATTGGATGTGTTGCTGACAGCTGTCCTGCCCTTAAAAAACACACACCTGTTTTGGGTTTACTGGTTTCAAGAAGCACTGTCTGATGTGAACCATGCCTCGCAGAAAAGAGCTCTCAGAAGACCTATGATCAAGAATTGTTGACTTGCATGAAGCTGGAAAGGGTTACAAAAGTATCTCCAAAAGCCTTGATGTTCATGTGTCCACGGTAAGACAGACTGTCTACAAATGGGGAAAGCTTAGCACTGTTGCTACTCTCCCTAGGCGTGGTTGTCCTGTAAAAATTACTGCAAAAGCACAGCGCAGAATGCTGCATGAGGTAAAGAAGAATCCCAGAGTGTCAGCTAAAGACCTACAGAAATCTCTGGCACATGCTAACATTTTTGTTGACACATCTACAATAAGGAAAACATTAAACAAGAATGGAGTACATGGGAGGACACCACGGAGGAAGCCATTGCTGTCCAAAAAGAATATTGCAGCACGTTTGAAGTTTGCAAAAGAGCACCTGGATGTTCCACAGCACTACTGGCAAAATATACTGTGGACAGATGAAACCAAGATTGAGTTGTTTGGGAAGAAGAACACACAACACTATGTGTGGAGAAAAAAAAAGGCACAGCACACCAACATCAAAACCTCATCCCCACTGTAAATCTTGGCGGAGGGAGCATCATGGTTTGGGGCTGCTTTGCTGCCTCAGGGCCTGGACGGATTGTTGTCATTGATGGGAAAATGAATTCCAGAGTTTATCAAGACATTTTGCAGGAAAATGTACGACCATCTGTCTGCCAACTGAAGCTCCGCAGAGGATGGGTGATGCAACAGGACAATGACCCAAAGCATACAAGTAATTCAACAAAACAATGGCTGCAACAGTACAGAATACGCCTTCTGGAGTGGCCCAGTCAGAGTCCTGACCTCAACCCGATTGAAATGCTGTGGCATGACCTTAAGAGAGCGATTCACACCAGACATCCCAATAATATTGCTACACTGAAACAGTTTTGTGAAGAGGAGTGGTCCAAAATTACTCCAGATCGTTGTGCAGGTCTGATCTGCAACTACAGGAAACGTTTGGTTGAGGTTATTGCTGCCAAAGGAGGGTCAACCAGTTATTAAGTCCAAAGGTTCACATACTTTTTCCTCCCTGCACTGTGAATGTTTACATGTTATGTGCAATTAAACCATGGCAACATCTAATGTTTGTGTAGTATTATGTTCAGCAGACTGTGTTCTTCTATTGTTGTGATTTAGATGACGTTCAGAGCACATTTTATGCCCAATTCATGCAAAACTCCACGTAATCCCAAGGGGTTCACATACTTTTTCTTGCAACTGTATATATATATATATATATATATATATATATATATATATATATATATATATATATATATATATATATATATATATGTTACATCTTTTTCCTGTAAATATTTTTATTGCACCCTTTTGACCTTTTAGTAATAAATATTACTTTCTGAAAGTGTTGAACTGTTTCTATAGCTCGTTACTGCAACATATGAATTCCTGCCTCTACAAGAGTGCTACTGTGTTTGTTTAACCCTCTGTATAACCGGTCTGCGGT